CAGTTCAGAGCTTCTATGGGCTATGTATTCTTTGCCAAAACTCTAACAGCTGAATATTGTATTGAGGAGAGATACATACAAGAAAATGCATGTTTCAAAATAAATTAGCCGGGGAAGTAACTATTTTCTGCAGGCATTTACCAGAACTTACTGTGTAGGTAGTTGTATCATATTATAAAGATATTATCTTTATATTATGGTTGAATATATGTATCTTTCCTCGATAGAGTTTTCAGTTTGACTTCCAGAAGGATTGAAGTAACCACAATAAAACCAAAGTTCAGTTTATTCTGTAAAATATATACTATATTCTGTAAAATATCAAAAAGTTGATAGTTAGGAAACTATAATACATCAATAGAAACTTACTAAACAATTTAAAGAATTTTAAACTGCATATAATACCTATATAATTGAGATATCTCTGGATTGATGTGTAGTTTAAGTCACTGCTTGCAAACAACAACAAATAGGTACTCAATATTCAACAAAATGAACCAGACATGAGTAATTATATTATATCGTTCAACTATCATAATGGGTTGAAACCATCATAAATTACTATTTATTCAAGTAGAGAACCATAAAAAAGTAAAAATATATATGTAAAGGGAGTCCACAAATAAAAGCTACTAATATCGGTTTTTCAATTATGAAAGTATTCAGTATCACTTGAGCTCAGGCGCGTACCATATAAGTACTAAAATACAGGTAGAAAATTAACACACCCTTATTTCCGCTTCGCATAAAATACTATATACATGTAACCCCAACATAAATCTTGACCCTGTATCCCAGATATTTTCTCAGATCTGAACTCTCCACGGCGTCCAAATCCAGAACGCCGTAGGTACTCTGAAATCTCCTTGAGAAATATAGCAGGAGTCAAAGGAACAAGTTTTTTGCTATCTTCTCGGATATAAGTGAGGGGTTTCTAATTCAGTACTGATTCACAATTGCAAAGTGTCATGAATAAGTCCTCATATGTCAGACTGGCTTTTCCCAAAACTTTTCTCAGTATAAATCCCTCATGATTCCTATTAACCTCTCCTACCAACCACCCCATCGGGCAGCTGTTGGAGAATTGAATTTTCACGATATCCTCTTGATGATACTGTAAGCGGTTATCATTTTTCAATCCAATTGTGAAAAGGCATTTTCAGCATCAACAAAATTTGTGCCATCGTCGCTGTATACAGTCGATGGTCTTTCTCTTCTGGCCACAAATCTTCTGAATGTTTGTAAGAAAACATCTGTAGAAGTGATGAGAGAAGTTCTAAATGAACAGCACTATAAATGGCACATGTATATAGGCCTTCTCTCCAGTTCGAATGTAGAGTGGACCGGCTAAATTTACACTGATGACTTCAAAAGCTTTGTCTTCTCGCACACGATTTTCTGGAAATGCTATGGCTGGAACCTCAATACGTCTGGAGTTGAATCTGCGAAATAATCCCTAAACTCTGACATGCAATGATTTCAAGTGAGTTTCGTAGATTAGCTTACTCACAACAGGATACTTAGAAGGCAGAATGATAGGAAAACGAAAATCAAGGAAATCAGTTCTTTTGGAAACCTTCGGAGATTTTCTCAACCATTCATGTCCCTCCCACCATTTCGATTGAATCAATTGTCGTGGAGAACAACCACGAGATGGAAGATCGGCGGAAATGAGATTTCCTGAAACGTGAAAGCAGGCTTTTTGATTAGTTAGGCTTCGAATTTATTTTACTCGATTCCAGAAGGGTTTCCGATTCTCTTCATATTTGATCCAAGCTAAGACAGTTGTCGAATCAGACCAATAATAAACCAAGATTCTGGAATCGCTACTGTCAGTAACAGCTCTAGATAATCTTGCCCCTGTGGTAGCGGCTAGTAATTCCAATCTGGGAATGGGCATTCGTTTAACAGGAGAGACTCTACTCTTGGTTTGTACGAGTTGTACATTCACGCCATTGCATGTTTCCGATCTCATAAATATGGCTGTAGCGTAGGCAACTTGACTCCCATCACAGAAAACATGCAAACAACAGTGATTCTTTCCTTCGATGGAATCAATGGTACTTTTAGGTTGAAAAGAATTGGAATCTCTTCGAAGTATTTAAAAACACATTCTTTGATGTTTTTTGTACCTCAGTATCCCATCCTGTTTTCAATTCCCATGTCTTCTGCAATAATATCTTAGGATAAAGAGAAACTGGGCATGAAAATCCAATGGGATAGAATATTCGGTGAGCTATCGACAAAATAACCCGTTTTGTTATCATTTCAGTATGATCTCGAAACCATTCTGATTTCAACTGCAATATATCAGAGTTTCTATTCCAAGAAAGTCTTAAAACCGAAGAAAAAGTGTTGTCATCAGGTAGAATGTTCCCTCCCTCTCAGATCAAACTTGGCATCAGCAAAGGGCCTTGTGGAAACTTAAATAAAATTCTGGATTTCTTCTCTGGTGTCTAAACTGACAACGCAATTATCTACATAAAAACTCTTTAGTAACTGAGTTATATCATGTCACTATTTTCGAAATTTTCGAGGCAACTTTTCAAATGGCATTCGATTACAGCTCCTAACAGAAGCGGGCTACAGGAAATCCCAAATACAACCCTTGTATCTCGATATGTTTTCAGCAATCCTGTATAATCTAGCCAAAGGAAACGCAAAAATCTCTTTCTTTGGGATTCAAGTTTATCTGCAAGAAAGCTTTCTTTATGTCAACTTTGAGTCCAAATCGTGACAAACGAAATCTCATCAACAGAGACCGTATACTAATTCAATGAGATTATAATGTTATTTTCTAGGCATTGGTTTATGGATAGCTGATTTTTCTGTCGAGAAGAGGCATCAAAAACAGGTCGGATTTTTGTAGTCGCGCTGTTTTCTTTTAACACGTTGGCGATATTGTAGATAATGCCCTTCTTCGAGTAAATCCGACTCGGGTACCCCTTCAATGATACCCTCGGTTCAGGGCCGTAGCGAAAAGAAAAACCAGAGGGGGGAGGGAATCCAAATTTTTCCAACCCCACCAGCAAAATTTACCAACTTTCGAAAAAATCAAAACCGAGGGATTAGTTACTACTATAATATATTAATTTCCTTACTTAGCTATTCAAAGATTGGCTGAATGCTTATGCCCGATAGGGTATGCACAAACAAAAATAAATTTTGGTAGGTAATTATAAAAATAATAATGGGAATTATTCTACTTTGGACCAAGGTCCTTGGTCTTCCACCATATCCACCATGTATAGGATTATTCAATACAAATGAAAGGAAACAACACTTAAATAATATTGTGCTTATTGTTTTCTACTATTATTTTTTCTATCTTCACGGCCCGAACTTTCCCAAGTCGAAAAAACAGCGAAAAGTTGTGAATTTCGTAAAATTGTCACTTAAGAATTTGTGGGCAGTTCAGGACTGTTCTCTTACTTGGGAGAAACTAAACTTTTTTGAAGTTTGCAAACAACTCAGAATTTCAAAGTATGGGATCTCCAAGTTATACATGTTGGGAAATCCAGACCTTCTCCTGGTTCTTTTCTTTCTCTTATTACCTCTTCCTTTCTTTTCTCTCATTTTTATTTTTTTAATTTTCATTCATTTTTTTGCTATTATTTTTTTCAATCTTCACGGCCCAAAATTTCGGAATATGAACTGTTTGATAGACTGTATTCTACACTCGTACTCATAACATTTGCTTTTAAGTCTGAATCTTCGAAGTTGGGACACATGATGGCATGATGTTTACCACCGCAAAGACTACAAGTTATGGACACACGACATTTTTTGAAAATATGTCCATAATTCAAGCAAATATAACAGCAGGCTTTTCCAAGAAGTTTCTTCTTGCGGTCAAATAATGTCCACTTTTTTGCTTCGGTGCAGAGTTCGCTTCGATGATTTCCACTACAGAAATTATAATTTTTGTATTGTTTGTTATTTATCAATCCAGTTGCGGTTGGTAGAGAAGAATTATTTTTTTGGGAATGCCGAATCCAGACGTAGCTAAAGTTATTCTTTCCTCGATCTCGACTTTTTCCTGAGGAAATTCATCAACTTGTCTATTGAGTGTAGAGTTACTATCGTGAAGACAGTGACTGTCTTAAAGGATGCTAAGGTTATTTCGAGTCGACAAATTGTTCAGTATTAGTTTTAACAACTCTCGCACGTAGAATATTGCGAAAAAAATCTTTCCTCCCAAATATTTTCTTTTGACTTTAAATTACTTTTGGGTAGTTTTCTGCACTGGGAAGGTAACTATCTATGAGTTGACGAGCTTTCGAATTGGGTATCGATGCTTGGATCAGATACTGAAATTTGTCCTCTGGTGCAATGTCTTCATCATCATTCACCCTCTGAAATTGACTCCAAAAGGGAAGCAATTCTTTGATTTCACCACCAAACTTCCTGAAAAAGTTCAAAACATCATCGAAAACCTGGTCGAACATTCTTTGCTGCCCTTCGGCGTCCTGTCACGGTCGCCAAATGCTAAATATTCGAAATACATCTACCCGGTGACTGAATATGTCGAATGTAGAACAAAATATGGATCGGAAACATTGAAAGTACTTAACAAACTCAAATATATTCAAAAGAAAATTCAATAAGTACAACTGACTTATCAATGACAGTAACTTGACAATTATTGTTAGAGAAAATGCAATGTGTACCTACAAAAAAAAGTTCAACAAATTCAGAAAATGAACTATCTGCGACATCGATCTTTGATCAAGCATTGATTGTAACTTTTGACTGGAATTACCCAATGTGGAATGAGATTACTGTCAATGAAACACACCTTCATAATTCACAAAACAAAATATAAAAGATCCAATGTATTGAATCCAACTTTTCATTTTAGCATTTTGATGTTATTTTTGACCTGTTAATTATTAGAATGTCTAGTTAAAAGGTCATATTGATAAAAAAATACGGAAACTTGGCAACACTGCTGTATTCTTTCCTTTGACGACCATCACCATCAGAAAATAGAAGTTTGACAGTTGTTTGTTGACATTATTCTTTGAATTTTTTTAGTTTTTATTCATGTTCGCAAATTCATTCTTTCAAGAACAAAACGTGATTTTCATTAAAATTAACAGAATTTGGAAGACTTTTCTTGGACCTGACATAATTAGAGAATTCATTACTCAAAGAATTGTGACAATAGAACGAAGTGGGATGTAGGTTACTAGAAGTTATTTTTCTCTAAGTGAGTATTTTGAACTCTCAAAGTAGTTATCTTACAATCGTGCTTGAATGATGGAATGCCTTTAGATAATAAAAATATATATTATTAAAATAACCCTATACATCAATATCGATAGAATTCAAAACGATAAACAAACTCAACAAATCAGTGGGGACAATGTCTGTAACTAAAGGATGATAAATTAATATAGTGTGGAATATAAAAACTATAATTTACTAGAACTTGAACGAACATTTTCTAATATTTAATTATGTTGTCAACATATATTCTATTAGCACATGGAAGGGCCAATAATTGATTAATAATGTTTCTGATGACATTTTATATTATTTCAAAATTGAGTCGATGCATTCGAAAACCTAACTGCCTATCAAGAATTTCAGTAAAGTTGTGCAAAATAGTTAGGCAAGGTTTTCTGCCAGTATCTATAGTCAATTTCAGATCTCTTTCATACTGGACCACAAAAATGATCTTTGTCTCATGGACCCTGCTGAGACAATTTGTATCTCGATCTATTCATTCACCATCACATACACTATAATGGCAGATAAAGTAATAAATAGATTGGTGTCAGCTTAGAAAAGCAATCTTCATTTTTAGATGTGAGATCTTCATAAACATTGAATATTAGGCATGTCAAACTAAAAATTGATTTCAATGTAGATGCCATTTTATTTAAGAGTCATTCAAATAGAGAACAGATCAGTAACGTAATTTATTTTTGTCTAAAAAAATTCTTCTTCAGAAACTTTAAAAGTTATATTTGTGGTAGAAATGTATTTATTTCTTTAATTTTATGTAATAATACCATGTAACAACATGATGAAAATATTATAATAAAATAGCAATTGCCATCACGCAAATATTGTTTTCAATATGAAATCAATGTGTGATTTCAGATAACACTTCACTACTATAGTGAAATAAGTCTTGCAGTTTTGTAAATTGTCATATGAAAATCTAACATTTGTATCAAGATGGAGAAGTAGAAAGACAGTTCTTTTTCACACTAGTGTTGTTGAACGAGTTCATCATGTATTTTTAGCAAGTATCATTCAGTTTCATCACATATGCGCCTCGTTATGCAAACTTTTATGAAATAAATATTGATTTTGGCTGATGGACTGGTCTTACTGGGCTTCACAGTACTTTGATTAAGACCATTACTTCGACATGTTGGTGTGAAATACTTGAAAGAATACTGAGAGAATCAAACCTGGTGTTTATATTTTAGATATCAGAGTGATAGTTTTTTTAATAATTTGAAACACATGCATGTATCTTATATTTTATGAAGTTGAAGAAATATATCATTATGGAATATTCCATTTCTCAGTTTGCATTTAACTCTTTCAAACATGTCAATAATAAAGAGTGCGAACTTTCACGACCGAGATAACTATGTTAAAGCTATTTTCCAGGTTTTAAGGCCGTGGTCTGCAGGTTTTTATGCCTGACATTTCGTCTACTACTGCGGTACACATTATCAAAGGTGCTGAGGTAACGGTCGAAGTCCTCATGCTGTTGTAAATTGTCTTAATATCATTTTTTGTGAGCGTCGCTTTTTTTCTCTCAATTGGATTAAATGACCTGGTACAATTAAGAACTGCTAGCTAGATTTTACTAATGTTTATTTTCTCTTCCTTTCTATTGAAATTATCCTTGTGTTTCTGAATTTCTATTGCTTCTCTATATATTCTTGGATAGTAATTTTGAGTTTTATTGAGTATTTGTGTATTTTACATTTAGAAAATGTGCGTGCCCTCTTTGTGGGCATGTTCGGCTACAGGTGATTTGCCGGTTTGTCCGAGGCGATAATTTCTCTTGTGTTCAGAGAGAGGGGTACCTATACCTTTACTAATCTGAGACTCTCTGTGGTCCTTAGCTGACCCTAAATTCTCTCTGATGGTTTTCGTTGGCCTAAATATTGGTTTCACGTCGTGTTTCTCTAAAATTCTCCCAGTCCGATCTGTAACATTTTTAACGTAGGGGTGGAAAGCTTTTTCCTCAACAGGCCTAGCTGGAGTTACTTTGGCATTCTCTCTTTCTCTTGGGTTGTACAGCCTGTTCGACTTCTATCGTACTTCGCTATTAGGGTTAGGTTAGGACCAAAGTGAGTGGGTCTATTCGACCCTCCACTGCAACCCACAAGAGTTTATTTTGGCTCACACCTATTCACACTTGACCAAATAAATCCAGCTTCTGAATGAAGCCGATTAGTTTGTATGCTGAGCAGTCTTTCGGCTCTGCCGAACTCTAAAAACCAGATTAGGTCTCCAGCGGGGCAGGTACAAAGTATGTGCTCTGCTGTTTCATCATTTTCCAAACAGAGGCGTCACAGAGTGTCTGTCAGCAGTCCGAGTCTCTGCATATGATGATTCAAATGACAGTGACCTGTAAGAAAGCCTGTTAGACATTGTAGTTCATCCCTACTGTTTGGTATCAAGCTTTGAAGGGTGAATAAACCCCTTGCAGTGAGCCAATCCTGAAAGATTCTGCCAGAAGTCTATAAATTTTCTTGCCATCCAGGTGTTCAATCTTTGTTTGGCAAAGCCTAAATCTATGCCAATGACAGGTTCTAATCCGATTAAACTGCTTGCAGCACCCTCTTTTGCAAGGGAGTCAGCAGCCTCATTGCCTTCCAGGCCACTATGGCCAGGAATTCAGACCAGAGACAATCTGTTAAGTCTTCCTATCGAGGAGAGTCGTTTTTAGCAATTTGCTACCAATTTAGATATTGCTCGGTAGGAACCAAGAGCTTCCAACGCCGTTTGACTGTCCGAGAATATTTCTATTGACTTGTGTATGAGATTGGATTCTTTCAATCTCTTCGCACACAATTCAATAGCGTAAATTTCCGCTTCAAATCTTTGTCCTGGGTCTGTGACTGAAAACATCTGCACCAGAACTGGAAGGTGTTTTTGATCCATCTGTGAACCAACAACTATCTGCTCCTAGTATTTCCTTCTCCCGGAAGATACAGTCCTCTCTACTGGGGAAGAGTACTTGATAAAGCAGTTAGTAGTTGACAGTTGGAGGCATAAAGGCAAAGGTCATTTCCAGAATGGTGTGACTTACAGTGTTGACCAACAATCTGTTACACTCTGCATGAAATTGATTTGTGCACTTGGGTACTTTGCTGTACCCATTTCCTTTGAAGGAATTTTTAGGTGATTGAGTTCCTCAGTGAGATCCTCAGGTTCACAGATGCGTTGGGCCCTATCAATCAACGTTTTGATTACCCTCCTCTTTTGTCGTGGATGCTGGTACTCAGGTTGGTACTCGGTTGGTACTTAGGTTGGTATGGCAAGATGGTGAAGGTACTTTAAACGATTTTCTATTATATCAACCTAAAAATCCAATTGACAATGAAAGGAAAAATCCATGGGACTGTAGCCATATTGGATGTTCTTGTGAACAGACGTAAAGATGGGATATTGGGCCATACAGTGTACAAGAAACCAACACACACTGACGGGTAAGGACCCCAGAGAGCATTTAGCAACACCTGGGGTATATCGGATTCCTTGTAGCTTCGTGTCAGACTACATTGGAACCACGAAAAGAAGTATAGATACCCGTCTCTCTGAACATAAGAGAAATTGTCACCTCGAACAAACCGACAAATCAGTTGTAGCCGAATATGCTCTCAAAGAAGGCTTTCACACTAACTATATCATTCGAAGATACACAAATAATCAATGAAACTCGAAATTACTATCTAAAAATATATAGAGGGGCAATTGAAATTCATTAACACAGGGATGATTTCAATAGAAAGGAGGAGGCAATGAACATTATTGAAATCTGGATACCTGTCCTTAATTGTACACAAACAAGGTCATTCAATCAAGTTGAGAGAAATGAAGCCACGCCCATCATTGATGATATAAAACCGAAGACGAATTTCCACATTGTAGTTTCTGCTTTGAGAACAACTCAAGCACTTCGACTGTTACCTCATCACTTTTGATAGTGTCTACCGCAGTAGTCGACGAAACGTCAGACATAAAAACATGCAAACCACGGCGAAAAAAACTGGAAAATAGCTTTGCCACAGATATCAAGAATAGATTTGAATGTATCTATTTAGAAATTTACATAATGCTATAATCATATTGACATCACACAAATTTATGAGATTAGTAAAACAAAGTGTTAGTAGTTGAAATTAGATTTGCACCATATAAGAATAAGTGTTTCAACTTGAAAGGGTTATATATATTTTTAGGAGTGATTAGAGTGTATAGTTACTTTTTTTTAAATTAATTACTCCCTTTCTTTGGAAGATTTCCATATTTTTTTGTAACAAGATGGAGTAGTAGAAAGTCAAAAACTTTCTTTCCCAAGAGTTTTAACATTTGAAAATCAATCTATATTATTAAAGGAATAAGCCTGAAACATTAAATGTTTTCAACTGTAATTTTTTGTCTGAATTCAATATGTCACCATACTCATGTTGAGCAATTTTCATGTATAAAAACTGATAGTGCATGCCTAGTTCATTCTGTGTGTTGTATAAATATATGCTCTTAATGTTCATTAAGATTAGTTAGACAAGTTAACAACAACAGGCAACTAGATGCCTATAAGAGTGTAGAAATAGGTAAACACGATAATAATATGAATAATGATGACGGACCTATACCAAAGAGCATACTATATAGCTTGTTAAAATAAAATAATATTGTTGGGTTTACTGATTACTATATAAGGACACATTGCAAAAATAAATTTGGATAGGCAATATTGTGAAATTAAACCAACAAATTACGAAAACAAAAAATTCAAAGAAAACAGAGTCGAATGCTTTTGTTAGGTCCGAAAAATGTGAAATAACCATGTTATCACTATAATCTTGTTTTTATGAAAATGCCGATAAATAAAATATTTTTAATGTTAACAGGAAGAAAACCTATACATTTTAGACGTTATTATAGTGTAATCTTAAGCTGTTATTTTGACGGATTGTAGTAAAAAAAAATGCCAACCAAAAAAAAGAGCTAAGAAATTATGCAATACTTATCTTAACGTTTCGGAGGCTAAAATATGTCTCCGTCTTCAGAAACGGACAAAACCTAAGTTTATACACAGCGTTTCTGCTTCTTTGATAGATGTCAAAAAACTCCTTTGAAATTTGTCGAAGAAGTTGAGAAATAAAAATACGTTTTGATAAGTGAATATAGAGTAAAGAAAATAATAATAGTCTGATTTATGTTAAGTTTTTATTTGTTATTACCGTTTTAGGTTGAACCATTTTCAATTAAATAATAATAGTAATGAATATTACTAGAGTTTTTTCCCAACACACTGTTTGATAG